AGTAAAAAATTAATTGAGGAAAACGTATTAAACTAATAATAATAATTTTAAGCAAAAATTGCGAAATGTTGTATCTTGTCGAGAAATATCCTCACGAATCGATTCCAACAAATAGATGACATTCTGGTAAAGTTTTTAAAATGACCATGTCCTTCTTCTTCCTGTAAGCTATTTAAAAAGATTTGACCTCTGGTGCTCAGCCTATTTCGATACAAAGTAGTTTCCACCACCGATGGTGAAAAGGGGAAAGGGGGTGAGGAGAAAGGAGGAGAGGAGAGAGAGAAAAGTAGGGAGTGGACGCTGGTCACAAAAAATGAAGGAGGAATTGGAAAAGGGAATGGCAGAGAAGAGAGTGGAGGGGGAAGGGATACAGGAGATGGTGAATGAGGCGGTGGAGAAGATAAAGGAGGAAATGTGGAGGAGCGAGATGGAGGGAGGATGGGAGAGAGGAAAGAGGAGGGAGACGTGGTGGGACGAGGAGTGCAGGGAGAAGAAGGCGGAGGTGAGAGCGCAGTTACGGAGATGGAGAAAGAGAGGGGGGGCAGGAGAAGAATACAGAAGGGGAAGGGGAGGCGAGTTGTGCGAGAGAAAAAAGAGGAGGAACGAGAGAGACTGATAAAGGAGGTCGCGGAAGCCAGGACGGAAAACAGTGTGTGGGAGATAGTAAATAGGGGGAGGAAGGAAAGAAAGAATGAACGAAGAGATAGGAGAAGAAGAGGAGTTAAGGTTGGAGGAGGTAAGAGAGGCGGTGAGGAAGTTGAAAGAAAGAAAGGCAATGGGAGTGGACGGGATCCCGAATGAAACATGGAGATTTGGAGGAGAGAGGACGGTGGTATTAGCGTGGGAAATATGCAGAAGAGTATGGAGAGGATGGCCGCAGGGTTGGAAGGAAGAGATAACAGTGCCGATTGTAAAGAAGGGAACTGGTTTAAAGGTAGAGGAATATAGGGGAGTTACACTGATGCCAACGCTGTACAAGGTGTACGCATCGGTGCTAGCTAGGAGATTGGAGAAGGAAGTAGAGGAGAAAAGAATGGTACCAGAGAATCAACCCTAAACGAGAATGACAGGATCAAAAGAGAAAAAGGGAAGATGGTAGCGCTGTTTCTGGACTACATCGGTCCATGCACGACATCGGTTAATTACCAAACATAGCATACAGGCATACAGGTTACCTGACACCTTGCTTGACACTATGTGCACAAACTGCGAGCTGTTTCCGTGGTCCGTGCCGTGCCGTGTCAAGTGCCTGCTGCCGTGTAAAAGAAATCCATTAACACGAAACTGCAATTTAACGTCTTGATTTTTCCATTATAAAAAACACCTTTCTTGATTGTCTGACTCTGTGCAGAAACTGCAATTTAGCGTCTTAATTTTCTCATTGTAAAAACTTGCTCATGATGAAATGCTTAGTTGCTGCGTTCCGACCCTCGCTTATCATTAAGCGTGACTCGTGCAAGCGACAAATGAAAAGAATATAAAATGTTATTTATCTGACAGTTCCCCTGCGATGGAACGTGAGAGTATATATTATCTTATTCTATCATCGTTGAGAAATTCAATTGGATGTAAAAGTAATTAAAAGTAAAAAATGGCATCGAATTTATTAAATAGCATCGCGCAATTTGGTAGTAAAGCCATGAATAGGCAACTACAGTTTCCCAAGCTTAAAAGTATTTTCAAACTATAAAATTAATAGTCAAACTTTGTTCACAATTTCTGTTACTTCACTTAGGATTTCTTTTAATTCTATTTTCATCTGCTGTGGAGAAAACAGTGCGACGATGTTCAAAAGCGAATTATCCATCGCTCATCGTCTTTTCGAATTTTGGACAAAGCTGTTAGACAAAGGCTAAATCAATTAATGCACTTCGGCAACAGGTATATCAGTTTGGGTATCCTGGATGAAATTCCATCAGAAACGACTAAGTGAATGGGTATTTCAATTAGCACTTGTGACTAACATAAACTCTTGTCACTAGACGCCATTAATCTGAGAAACAGAAGTTTGCAGCATTTTCCGTGGAATTTAGTACAGTAATTATTCAAGTAAAATGATAACAATACTATCTTCTTATCTTCATCCTTAATTTGTCCTATAAGCAGAAATGGGTTTCATCTTTTGTTCATCTAATTTGTCTATCTAGTTGTTCACAAGTTTATATGAATCATTTTTCTTGTAAAACCAACATACTATTTTTACTTAAAAAATGAATTTCCTTATATTATGAACTTCCCGGTGCTTCATACTATTCTACTCTTTTATTCCTCCAAACAAGTTTCTGAATTTGTACATACGTTTCGAAAAGTTCAATATGATGTTTTACATCATTCCACTCGTACAAACGTTCAAAATATTAGTAGAAGACATGGAGTTCAGTTGTATCTCTAGCTAATCAGAATTTTCCTTGCAAGTTCGAAATAGTATATGTACGCTGTTATTTCTCAGGCTACATTGACTCTGACTCAAATTTTCGATTATCTACTTTCATCAGTGAAACATAAGTTCGGTTACCCTGGCCGTAGGGCAAAACGGTTTTATGATCGGCCTGCATAAACGTGGTGATAAAGTTAACTTTAATGACTCGTTAAGTCGATTAAGAACGATTATCTACGTTAAATCTTCTGTTCCGTCTATACATAGTTTTATATTGGGCTACATGAATTGCATCCCTGGCCAATCGTCCGTGCAAATAATTTTCGTGACGATTCAATTTCTCGGAGGAAGGAAAGCAACGTTCTAGTCAAATCTTATTTGCTTTTTCACTATAATAAAATCATGCATGGCCGTTTGTATATTATTGTAGTAAAAAAGGTTTCGGTCAAGCGCAGTCTGCATTTAAGAAAGCAGTTCGCTTGACGTCCAAATAAAGTTCATGCGTAATTCAACCATGGTTTTATTCTATAGAAATTCGTGCACACCAAAATTGAAATTGCATATTAAAAATGTATAATACCTCCGAATGTTTTAATCGAAATTTATTGCGATCAACTGTTTTGGGGCATTTACATTACGAGAGAAATTGGACCCTTCTATACGGAAGGTTTCTATAATGTATGCATCTGATCACGTGCTACATAGGACAACACGGCTATTTCCTTTGTACCACGTACCACCTACCACGTTACGCCCACGTTATACACATCCACAAAACTGACAGGCTAAAGGGTGTCAGCGATGTATCTAGGAAATTAATTATACTTTGTAACGATCGTGAAAGTAAATTGAGCCTAAGTGACAGCATTTCGTAAAATCGTGGCAACGACTCGCGCGGCCGCCTGCCTACCAACACGGATTATTGATTAACTACCAGCGCGTCACTAGCAATATGCGCCCGTATAAAAGAAATTTCCGCGTTAGGAAATTCATTCTCATTGTGTACTCTTTTAGGAGAGAACGTGGTAATTCATCGGTCGTCCAACTGAGAGGTAGAATATGAAGCTTGATTTTCGAACGCCCGTTGCAGCCAGGAAAATATGAAGATTACTCTGGATCATTCCTTGGAGAAGAGGACAACTCGAAGATCTGCCGGTCGCTTCGAAAACTGAGTGCAGAAAACCCTGAACGCTTTCATAAAACTACTTTAATTAAATCAAAAGCATGGTGGAGAAAACTTTTTTTAAACAGTTTCATGTGCCGTACAAATACAATATGAATAAATTAATTGTCTACCGCGTGCATTGTTTTTCAATGATCTGTTGTTTCAAACTCCGTCTCATTATTAGTCATTCAATTATTTGTAAGAAGGTCAGAAATTTATTCGTTAAAAACTTCAATCGTTATGATCAGCGAAACTTTATTCAACAAAACAGCGAAAGCCGGAAAAAGGAGTACGATGTGATTAAAATGAGTGCGAACGATTCGCCACTAATTCAACTGATTAACAGGCAGTTTCAGCTGTCACGATTTATCACCGTCAGATGCGCCACATTGTCCGTCCCGTAAAATATTACGCGTCACGCTGCTTTTTAATATCTATCACTGCGACTGAGTGACGTCCTCGAAATCATTGCTCACTTGTGAACGCGAGAACTCAATTATTGTATACTTATATTGTATTGCGTAGATATCATATTTAAAACGAATATTATAGAAATACGTGGAATGATATTTTTTGTTTATGAGTACAGACTAATCAAGACTTTGAAATTCCTTTCCGATATAATAGAGCGAACCTTTTTCAGATACAAGAACAAAGAAGAGAACGAGAAGGAGGTGAAGCCATTAAGGAGCGATAGTAAATACAGATACATCATGTCTGAGGTGCAGAGCTGCATACTGATCGTCATACTCTTCGCAATCGTCGCCTTAGTACTATTAGTAAGATGTATTAGAATGTATCGAGACTTTTGCGTGTATGGTGGGCCGGAAGGACGGGCCATCGCCAAACATTGGAGCAGACTCTATCGTTGGCCTAGTCCACTAAACATGGAACAGCCGGACGATTGTAATGGCGAAGTCTAATCGTCGCACGCAAACGTCGATGTGAGTACTCAAAATGTTTTTATAACACGTGGCTAAAGAAGACCATTTCCGCCTACAAAGTGAATCGAAAATAGAGTTCACGCCGTAGGGCCGTAAAATGCAATTCTTGGCCCACTTTATTTCTAACGCTCTGACGAACATATGCTATAC